TTAGTTTCTCCATATTCCCTCTCTCCAATCTGATATCCAGCCTTTCATTATCTAGATATTTTGATACTCTCATCACCTTGCTCTTTCCTGTGCTCACTTTTGATTTCCTAGTTTTACATACCCTCTCTAATTTGTTTTCCAATCTTTGCTACTTCTCTTCAGAATCTCTCAAAAAACTGCATGGAATATACAGGATTTATTTTGTTTCAACCAATCATCACTGCTAATTTAAAAATGATCTAATTCCCACATATTTGAACCAATCATCACCACTAATTTAAAATGATCTAATACCCACATATTCTTTGACAGTAATATAAGCAAAAAGCAGCTGGTTGATGTACACTATATAACAACTACCATATATATAAAAATAAAAAATTCTCAGGAAATTTCTGAATTGTGATAGTTGTCTTTGATGCACTGCATGGATATAACCAATAATTTATTTGTGCAAAAAATACAGATTACAATGAATAAATAATGCAAGTCAATATATCATTCACAAAACTATCAAGTACAATAGATGGAAAAAATGCATATCCCAGAGTTACATATTGACCAAGTAATCTGTGCATTCCAAATTTCCCTCAACTTTAACTTATTCCATTCTTTTATGTGAGAAGAATTTTTCTCAGTAGTACTTTATTTTCAACATCTACGATTTAGTTACTGTAATGCTTAATACACATGATGATACGAATTTATATATATATAAATAGTATAGTACTGTATAAGAAAGGCTAATTACTATACCTCAATTTCCCCATATACTGCAAGTGCTATGTGATCAACTAAAGAAAACTACTTCTACTACTTTTGAAGGGAATTAAGCCAAATTTAATTAGTATATAGAGCAGAATATTTACTACAATATGCTTATATAATGCATCCTTATTTTATATTATACACCTCTTATCATAAAAAATCAGCTTCATTAATCCACAAGGAATGCGTGACTAAAGTGTTGATGCATTTGGCAATCCACCAATTTCATATACTGTACTGTATACTTGATTAGATGATAAAATTTGAAAATGACCAAAAACATTGCAGAGCCAAGAGCTAAGTTGTGAGAAAAAGGCCCCTCCCTATTAGGATGGTATGAAGAGAATGAGCAAAAATTTCAGGGCACAAATTTATGAAATGTTATGTATAAAAACCAGCTTGATAATTACAGCAGCAAAGCCTATTCACAACTTTTGCACAAGACTCAGCAATACAAACCCCAAAATACATTAGCAGAGAGAGCCAGAATCCAAGCTAAGCAGGACACAATTACCAAAAAAACCTGGATCCCCAGCTGGAGTTTACCTTCATAATATTTATATTTTTTGAGGAAGTCTCTTTAAACTAGGTCATCAAGGTGCTGAAAAAAGAATTTATAAACTGGCTTAAAGCTTGTTATAAACTTTGAATACTTGCAAACTATGATTTTTAAATGAGGAGAAATTAAAAGAGCAAGAGTGTACATAACTTGTGGTAACTTTGCTTTTATCTTTTCTTTAAGCCAAGGAAGTACTGATTAACACAGTCAGGGTATACATAAACTCGTCCACACAAACAATATCCTATCATTACAGTAGCTGGGCAACACAACCACACACACACACACACACACACACACACACACACACCTGATAAAAAAGTTGATATATTCAATAAATATTCTAACAAATTTTCCTGTCTAAACTCTCACCTTACTGCTTTTTTAGAATCCCAAAACAAACTTCTCACCTTCTAAGTAACAAGAATACTAAAAAGGATACTCCGTGGTCTTCATCATTGACCCAAACAATGAGAAACCTTTCCATGCTCTTCATATTATTACTGCTATCATGAGTGTAAGTTAATCTAGTAACAGTGATAGGATTCACATACCAAGCAATTTGGCATTTCATCATGTTGATCACAGATGGTATTCACTGTTGCAAGGAATAAGGTAGTCCAAATCTTATTTAAATTATTGTATAATAAGTATAAAAATAGTGACACTATTTATAAATTTTGAAAATGTATAATGCAGATTTAGATGAGGAAAGGACAAACAAAATAGACAAAGTAAAAAAAAAAAAAAAAACGAACATCAATACATGTGTGAAGCAGAAAGGTATTTCAGCATAATGAACAAAATGCTGAATATATTAAAAAAAAAAAACTACACGGTACTCTACAGATATACTGCACAAGCACAGGTGTGTTAATTATTAACATGCTGGTGAATATGGCAGTGTACATGAAACTTAAGCATGCAATTAGCCAATTAATTATGATTAAGAAATTCACTGATATACTGTAATACATAATGACAACAAAAACAGTAAATAACAACTGCTGTATGGGTGGGAACTGAACTCACAGCAAGTGAATCGTAAAACTCCAGGCCAGCGCGTAAGCAATCGTGTCATTACGATTTTGTGAGTCAAGACAGAAATTTGTTTCTGGCTTGCAATTCTAAATGAATTAGAATCCTGCTAGAGCACTGTCTCCACAGTGGTAAGATAAAACTCTCTACCAATGAAGCTAAGTAACATGCTAATACCATTACACAGTACAATGGAGCCTCCGTTTTCATCATTAATTCGTTCCAGAAAGTTTGACGAAAACTGAAGCAATATTTTCCCTAAGAAATAATGTAAATCCAATTAATCCGTTTCAGACATCGAAAAGTACGTATTAACAAAAAATACATTTTATAGAGAATAACTCTAGTTTTACATACAGAAAACAACGAGAAATAAATATAAAAGACGAATGAAATGGATAAATGAACATTTAATATCACTTTTACCTTTACTGAAGACTTGTTGGCACAAGGAAGATGCGAGGAGGGGAGGGAGGAGAGGTTTTTGGTTGGAAGGGGAATCCTTCTCCACAAGGACTTTAGGTATCAAGTCCCTATCCGGGGTTACTTCCCTTCTTTGTCTTTTACTGGCACTGGACCCCTGTTGCACAAAAAAGTCTGTCCAGAGAGATCTGTTTCTGGCATCCCTAAGATTTGCCTAAAATGGGATAAGGCATTGTCATTGAATATGTTGCAGGCACGACTTGCAACAGCTTTGTTAGGGTGATATTTCTCCACAAAACTTTGCTACAAGTTCTTTCTTAAATTCTATCATGTTTCTCACCTTCTTTATCAAAGGCCTGACACTTGGAACTTTCTTTGGCCCCATGATGGCTTATTTAGCAGTCGCACTCAATAAACAAGCACAAAAAACAATGGATTATAACAAAATGTTTCAGATGAACATGCAGGGTAATGCTCACTTGATGAGAAACAAAGCCAGACTGACTCAGAATGCGTGGGATGCTTTGTGTGTGTGGGCAGGTGGACACGTTTGGTATGGCGGACCAACAAAAACCTAGGTGATGAACAACAACTGGACAAAATTTTGACGAAAAAAGTCGTCGAAAACCAAATTCGATGAAAACTAGGGCAAACAAAAACTGAGGTTCCACTGTACTTATATATGTCAAACTTGTGTCATTCAGAACAAGTAGACAAAGTAAAATCCATTGCCTGTTAATCATAAGACAAAAACCACTTCACCAAAAATGCACATTTAGGAGGGGATCATTATGGTGATTAGGCTTTTCCTCAATATAAAACAAGCAGTAAACCTGTAGGCACTTATGACTACAATATTAACCCTTTCAGTGGCTAACATGTAGAACTACGTCACTGAGGTCAGGGGCCCCTTACGCAGTTTTATGTCAAAAGCTCAGCTCACTCAGATAAGCTGTGAGTGGTAAATTTTGGTCTAGATATGAGAGAAAAATCCTGCCCTACCCACTGCATGATGGGAAAAGCAAAATTTTGACCATGTTTTTGGTTTAAAATATAGTGACTGATATGTTTTCTAGAATGGGTTTTATGGTTTTATTGGCTGTTTCTTGGTAACCTTTGATAGAATGGAAGCTGTATTACTGAAAGAGATGATTTTGGTTGGTTTCAGGACTGAAAGTAGCTTGAAAGTATGTTGAAAGGAGCAGCAGCATTCAATTTTTGCCAATTTTCCTGAGGATGGGTAAAGTCTCCTACACCCCCTGGCCCATTTTATGGATTTTTTAATAGACCTAATCCAATTACTGGGATGCCATAAACCACAACCAGTGATTCCTGCTTACATTTTATTATCTTGGAAGTAGAGTAGTAAATCTTGCATTTTTGAGTGATTATGAATTCAATATGGGAGGCAAGTGTAATATAAGAGAGACCTGGAGACATGATAAATGAACAGAGGATATGTTTTAGAGCCAGGAGTGTCTATTTTGAATTATTTATAAATTGGTATTTCTTTAAATGTGTAAAACTGGCCATATTACTGAGTTCTATGCACTTTATAGGGTAGTTCTAATACTATTTGAATGGGTGGTTTCTTGTGCTCAATCAATAGAACAGAAGGCAAATTAGTGAAATACCTAAGAATTTGCTTAAACAGAGGAATGGAATTGACTTAAATTAGGACTTAGTCAGTGAAATCACCAATGCATAAATTGCATCCAGGCCACTAACTTTGCACCTGTGTAATTCTGTAAGCTTTCTATCAAAATTTGTTTCATTACCTTTAGGGAAAAAACTACCATTTTGAAAGAGTTTTTTTTTTTTAAACAGTGGACACTAGGAACAATATTAATTTCAGGGGTCTGGACAGTGAAAAGATTAATGCATGAAATGCAATAATTAATAAATTAAAGATTTCAGAAATCCTTCACTAGATTTTTTTTTTTACCATGCCAGCCTTCACTAGATATACTGGGCAAAGTGAAACAGGAAAAAATCATATTCATTCTGGTTGAGCACATGCTATGGATGGATATAAGAGAATGCATGGGTCTTCGGGGAAAAGCCAAGAGGGTCATTGAGCTGGTTATGAGATAAATGATTACCAAAAAATCTACAAGATAAATTCACAGCAGAGTCTATTTTAGTAACACAAAAACAGAGCCTTCAAACACTGGGGCTTAAAGAGAACAATCCATTAACTAACAAGTCTTACCCTGGGCTGAGAATAGTCCTGGTAGAGGTCATCTTGTTCTCTCTCTTGGGATTTGGGGCTATCTTCTCCATGCTTAAAAGTGCCATTATCTAATGTGAATCCATCCTCTTCCCGAGGCCGTGTTCCATAACTCCGTGGCTGGGGGATGAAGGAATAACTGGATTCAACACCAGTGGGGGCATCTCGAAGGACAGGAGGCACAAATTTACATGCCACTTCTGTTGTTGAAATTTCTTCTTCGGGTCCATCATCACTGACTGATATATCACCATTTGATTGACCATCACCAAATTTCTAAAAAAAAAAAAAAAAAAAATTAATATAAACCTCTGAGCTATGGGAAATAACTTAATTATTAATTCAAACATTTGAACTATGGTTAAAATTCATGGAAATAATTATTCATTATTTATGCACACACATGGCATATATTATTTTAAATCAGCATATATTTATGCAAAAACATCGCATATATAATTTTAAATCAGGAACTATCAGAACAAAGGTAGGCTAGAGAGTACAGGAAATGAAGTGGTGGTCAAAGAGAAATGGGGTAAATTTAAGAATGCATTACTAGAATGCAAAACCGAAGTTTGAGAGTATGAGGGAAGAGGAATAACTGGCAGAATGAGATAAAGAGGGTAATAAGGGAGAAAAAGTTACCACATGAGAGGTCGTCGCAATGTAAAAATGATACACGACAGCAGAGTACAAGAAAAAAAGAAGTATTTAAAAAGTGCAAAAGCAGAGCCAATCAGAGAATGGGTAAGTCTTTATCATATTAAGACAGATGTTAAAAGTAGGTGGGAATACAGTACTGGAGTGGTTGGCATATTTAATATATGTATGAAAAAATAAAAAGTACCTGAGGATTGGCAGAGATTGTGCATAGGGAATAAAAACAAAATATAAAGGAAGTTGAAAGTGAACACAGATAAGAGTAACATGATGAGGGTATCAAACAAATTAGGCTAGGAAAAATTGGATATCAGAGTGGAGGGAATATGGAAGAAGTGAATGTGTTCAGATATTTGGGAGTGGACATGTCAACAGATGGGTACTTGAAGGACAAAATAAACAACAGAACTGATGAAGAAAAAAAAAAAAAGGGAGGTGGTGCATAGAGGTATCTGTGAAGACAAAGAATGTTGTCCATGGAGGCAAAAGAGGGAATGTATGAGATTATAGTAATACCGACACTCCGGCTTTGAAGCATGGGTTATAAATGCTGATGTGAGGAGGAGGCTGGAAGCAGTGGAGATTCTGTGTATAAGGGCAACGTGTGGCCTAAATATTATGCAGAGAATTCTATTTTTTTATTATCATCACACTGGCCGATTCCCACCAAGGCAGGGTGGCCCGAAAAAGAAAAACTTTCACCATCATTCACTCAATCACTGTCTTGCCAGAAGGGTGCTTTACACTACAGTTTTTAAACTGCAACATTAACACCCCTCCTTCAGAGTGCAGGCACTGTACTTCCCATCTCCAGGACTCAAGTCCGGCCTGCCGGTTTCCCTGAACCCCTTCATAAATGTTACTTTGCTCACACTCCAACAGCACGTCAAGTATTAAAAACCATTCGTCTCCATTCACTCCTATCAAACACGCTCACGCACGCCTGCTGGAAGTCCAAGCCCCTCGCACACAAAACCTCCTTTACCCCCTCCCTCCAACCTTTCCTAGGCCGACCCCTACCCCGCCTTCCTTCTACTACAGACTGATACACTCTTGAAGTCAACACTGTTTCGCTCCATTCTCTCTACATGTCCGAACCACCTCAACAACCCTTCCTCAGCCTCTGGACAACAGTTTTGGTAATCCCGCACCTCCTCCTAACTTCCAAACTACGAATTCTCTGCATTATATTCACACCACACATTGCCCTCAGACATGACATCTCCACTGCCTCCAGCCTTCTCCTCGCTGCAACATTCACACCCATGCTTCACACCCTATAAAGAGTATTGGTAAAACATAACTCTCATACATTCCCCTCTTTGCCTCCAAGGACAAAGTTCTTTGTCTCCACCGACTCCTAAGTGCACCACTCACCCTTTTCCCCTCATCAATTCTATGATTCACCTCATCCTTCATAGACCCATCCGCTGACACGTCCACTCCCAAATATCTGAATAAATTCACCTCCTCCATACTCTCTCCCTCCAATCTGATATCCAATCTTTCATCACCTAATCTTTTTGTTATCCTCATAACCTTACTCTTTCCTGTATTCACTTTTAATTTTCTTCTTTTGCACACCCTACCAAATTCATCCACCAATCTCTAGCAACTTCTCTTCAGAATCTCCCAAGAGCACAGAGTCATCAGCAAAGAGCAACTGTGACAACTCCCACTTTATGTGTGATTCCTTATCTTTTAACTCCCTGCCTCTTGTCAAGACCCTCGCATTTACTTCTCTTACAACCCCATCTATAAATATATTAAACAACCACGGTGACATCACACATCCCTGTCTAAGGCCTACTTTTACTGGGAAATAATTTCCCTCTTTCCTATGTACTCTAACTTGAGCCTCACTATCCTCGTAAAAACTCTTCACTGCTTTCAGTAACCTACCTCCTACACCATACACCTGCAACATCTGCCACATTGCCCCCCTATCCACCCTGTCATACGCCTTTTCCAAATCCATAAATGCCACAAAGACCTCTTTAGCCTTATCTAAATACGTTCACTTATATGTTTCACTGTAAACACCTGGTCCACACACACCCTACCTTTCCTAAAGCCTCCTTGTTCATCTGCTATCCTATTCTCAGTCTTACTTTTAATTCTTTCAATAATAACTCTACCATACACTTTACCAGGAATACTCAACAGACTTATCCCCCTATAATTTTTGCACTCTCTTTTGTCCCCTTTGCCTTTATACAAAGGAACTATGCATGCTCTCTCCCAATCCCTAGGTACCTTACCCTCTTCCATACATTTATTAAATAATTGCACCAACCACTCCAAAACTATATCCCCACCTGCTTTTAACATTCTATCTTTATCCATCAATCCCGGCTGCCTTACCCCCTTTCATTTTACCTACTGCCTCACGAACTTCCCCCACACTCACAACTGGCTCTTCCTCATTCCTACATGATGTTATTCCTCCTTGCCATATACACGAAATCACAGCTTCCCTATCTTCATCAACATTTAACAATTCCTCAAAATATTCCCTCCATCTTCTCAATACCTCTAACTCTCCATTTAATAACTCTCCTCTCCTATTTTTAACTGACAAATGAATTTGTTCTCTAGGCTTCCTTAACTTGTTAATCTCACTCCAAAACTTTTTCTTATTTTCAACAAAATTTGTTGATAACATCTCACCCACTCTCTCATTTGCTCTCTTTTTACATTGCTTCACCACTCTCTTAACCTCTCTCTTTTTCTCCATATACTCTTCCCTCCTTGCATCACTTCTACTTTGTAAAAACTTCTCATATCTGGAGTTTATCTGGAGAGAGTTCCGGGGGTCAACGCCCCGCGGCCCGGTCTGTGACCAGGCCTCCTTAGGTCAGTGTCCCAGGATGCGACCCACACCAGTCGACTAACACCCAGGTTCCCATTTTACTGATGGGGAACATAGACAACAGGTGGAAAGAAACACGTCCATTGTTTCTACTCTGGCTGGGAATCGAACCCAGGCCCTCACCGTGTGAAGCGAGAGCGTTAACCACCAATCGCTCCTCTTCCCTCCTGCACCCACTTTCCTGTAACCACAAACTTCTGCTGAACACTCTAACACTACATTTTTAAACCTACCCCATACCTCTTCGACCCCATTGCCTATGCTCTCATTAGCCCATCTATCCTCCAATAGCTGTTTATATCTTTCCCTAACTGCCTCCTCTTTTAGTTTATAAACCTTCACCTCTCTCTTCCCTGATGCTTCTATTCTCCTTGTATCCCATCTACCTTTTACTCTCAGTGTAGCTACAACTAGAAAGTGATCTGCTATATCTGTGGCCCCTCTATAAACATGTACATCCTGAAGTCTACTCAACATTCTTTTATCTATCAATACATAATCCAACAAACTACTGTCATTTCACCCTACATCATATCTTGTATACTTATTTATCCTCTTTTTCTTAAAATATGTATTACCTATAACTAAACCCCTTTCTATACAAAGTTCAATCAAAGGGCTCCCATTATCATTTACACCTGGCACCCCAAACTTACCTACCACACCCTCTCTAAAAGTTTCTCCTGCTTTAGCATTCAGGTCCCCTACCACAATTACTCTCTCACTTGGTGCAAAGGCTCCTATACATTCACTTAACATCTCCCAAAATCTCTCTCTCCTCTGCATTCCTCTCTTCTCCAGGTGCATACACGCTTATTATGACCCACTTCTCGCATCCAACCTTTACTTTAATCCACATAATTCTTGCATTTACACATTCATATTCTCTTTTCTCCTTCCATAACTTATCATTCAACATTACTGCTACCCCTTCCTTTGCTCTAACTCTCTCAGATACTCCAGATTTAATCCCATTTATTTCCCCCCACCGAAACTCCCCTACCCCCTTCAGCTTTGTTTCGCTTAGGGCCAGGACATCCAACTTCTTTTCATTCATAACATCAGCAATCATCTGTTTCTTGTCATCCTCATTACATCCACGCACATTCAAGCATCCCAGTTTTATAAAGTTTTTCTTCTTCTCTTTTTTAGTAAATGTCTACAGGAGAAGGGGTTACTAGCCCATTGCTCCCGGCATTTTAGTCGCCTCATACGACACGCATGGCTTACGGAGGAAAGATTCTTTTCCACTTCCCCATGGACAATAGAAGAAATAAAGAAGAACAAGAGCTATGTAGAGAATTCGTGGTGTGGAAATTAGGAGATGCAGAGTTACTAAAAGAGGGGGCTGTTGAGGTGGTTTGGTCATTTAGACAGGATGGAGCAAAATAGGATGACTTGGAGGGTGTATAAATCTGTAGTGGAGGGAAAGTAGGGTAGGGGTCATTCTAGGAAAGGATGGAGGGATGGGGTAAGGGAGGTTTGGTGGGCGAGAGACTTGGACTTCCTATCTAACAGGTTCTCACACGCTTGCTGGAAGTCCAAGCCCTTCCCCCACAAGATCTCCTTTACCCCCTCCCTCCAACCTTTTCGAGCGAGGATAGCCCCCTACCCAGCCTTCCTTCTCCTACAGATTGATATGCTCTCCAAGTCATTCTTTGTTCCATTCTTTCTAAATGACCAAACCACCTCAACAACGCCTCTTCAGCTCTCTAATACAGTGGAACCTCAAGGTTTTCAGGAT